CGCATTTTCATGACGGGGGCACAACCAGTAAGCGGTCCAACATCGAACATCGCAAGCTTGTGTGTGTTTATTTATTTATTTATTTATTTTATATATTTTGTTCATTCTCTTTTTAATGCTTCGTGCTGTTGGATATATGTCGGGAAGATGTCGGGGAGGTCTGTGTCCGGCGCCCAAGGCCACGGTGTGGAACATACAAAGCCTCTGTGAACATTGTGCATTCGCTGTCAGTGGAAGCTGCGTGAGAAAGGCTGGAAGACGGTGTCTTCCGGGACGAGAATTCGGGACAGGGATCATGCTTGGCAAGGATTCGAACGTCCGATCCTTTAGAAACTGTCGCGGTCGTTCACCGATTTCGAGAGAGATTCAACGATACTTTACGAGAATAACAGTCGAGAACGCGAGCTTGCAACGGCAAAGGAACGTTCGAAGAGCGAAAATGAAGAAACGCGATGCTTCGCGGACTGCGTCTCGCGGCGGAGCAGCCAGTCGGAAGAGTAGAAGAGAATCGATCGATCGATTACCGGTGACAGCGAACGTACCCGTCAGCGAGGAAATTTCGACCGGTCCGAGCGTAATTACCTGCAGCCCGATACAGATCGATAGGAAATTCATGGGTTCGGTCTATAGAAGCGTGTAAACCGGTGAATCGTCGGGGAAACACGCGGGTGACTCGCTCGGCGGTCGCGTCGACGTGTTTCCCCGACAAGGTTTACCGCGAAACATTATTATTGAATTAGGTGCAAGCGCGGTCGCGTATCCGGCGTTACGGAAAGCCGCGAACGATCAAGAGAGGTGCACACCGATCGAGCACGCTCGAATCTTTGCCATTCGGAACAGGTTCGACGCGAGCAGAGCCGCGACTAAATTATTCGATGCCAGTAATTATAGAATTCCGCAAGGGTCAACGGCCGAAACAACTCGAAGCGGAACGGAGGTTGCCGATTCGAGCCGCTCTCTGCTCGCGAGCGCGACGGGAGCCAGGTGGGTTGCAGCGGTGGATAACGAGGCAGAACATGAAAACAGGGTTTAGGCGGGCAACAGATCGTACAGGCCGAGTCACGGACCCGGGACCAGTTGCGCGGATAGCCGGCCGAATCTGATTTAGCAAGCAAACACGCTCGGCTGTTCAACGAGTCTTCTACTTTTCGAATGTCGCGACTCGAACGAGCACGCCAGTAATACGTTCGAATTCTTATCGAAAACGCCTGAGAAGGCTCTTTGAAAAAGCTTGAGCGCGCAACGTTGTTCCCGGAAGTGAGTAGAAGACGCGGAATACTCGGTGGTACGAATTCCGTCGAGTGTCCGACCATCGCCGGTTCTTTCTACTCGGGATCCGTGAACCGTGTTACCGAAACGTGTCCGGAAACACGAGATACCGAAAGTTTCCGAGTAGAATGGGCCAGCAACGGTCGGACAGGGTCGAACTCTCGCGTCGAGTACCACCGAGAACCTTCCTGCGCGTCTCGCGTCCGATTTCCGATAGAATGAAAAAAGCGCAACGAGCCCCGCGGCCAGCGACCCGGCCCAACACAGACCGGCCAGTGAAAAGAAAAACAGGTAGTTCCGATCAGACGGACAAGAATGAACCAAGAATAAAGAAGAATCAGAAGAAGTAGAAAGAGCATAGAGATGGGAAAAAGAAAAGGACTCACCGTCTCGTCTTAACGCGACGATAACGGCGGTAATCGTTGGCGTTTACGTCGTTGGGGTCGAAGCCCCTGCGATGCTTGGGCGGCGAGGACATGGTCGCAGCAGCCTTGGTCTTCGCGGCGTCCGAGACCGCGTTCGGCGAGCCGGCGGTGTTGTTGTTGACGAACGCGAGGCAGCTGTTCCCGTTGCCGATGTGCAGCGAATAGAGCGGCGGCGGCGAGGGCGGCAGCTGGGCGGGGACGAGGCCGGTCGTTCCGTCGATCGGTCGGTCCGAGATCGCGTGGCAACGGCAGACC